CCACACACCCGCGTATATACCCACACACACCCATAACCACACCCACACCCACACCCACACCCACACCCACACCCACACACCCACACACACTCCCACACCCACACCCACACACCCACACCCACACCCACACACCCACACCAATTTCTTTTGTCATTGATTTGGTTAGTGGCTGTTCGTCGTATATCTTAGTTTCGTCTGTCATTGATATTTGTCAGAATGAGATATCACATGTAACAACATACACCAGTTTTCTATTTATCTTTCATCAAAGTAGCAGTTAAGAAGAAAAGCAAAACAGAGATATTGTAATCTTGGTCATGTTGCTATTTCAGAAGAATGACGTTAAAACATTGTGCAAAGTTTCTTCTGTTGTAAAGAAACTTGCATTCTAATAGGATTCTATGTTGTGGTAACAATGAAGCTGTAACAATAGGGAGACATTTTTCGGACTATCTGAGGCATTATGGATATGAGTATAAAAAGAGTTAACATTTACTTTCACTCTCACTCGCACTCCATTTAAAAACTTAGATAGATATTCAAAACTTACAGGGTTAAGATCTTGTTTCGAGTTTATTGATATTGATGTTTCAAAAACTTTCAAATGGAATACTAAAGTTTTATCAAAACTAATGAAGAAATGCACGATAAAAATAAACAATAACGAAGCAATCATTTAAAATAAATTTGCATGATACTGATTTATGGAAAGCGCAAAAATATGTTTTATTATTGTTTTTGCATTTGAAGGTCAGTACCTTATTAAGTGACGTCATGAAAAGAATGATTTCAAGGTAAGTCTGATAAATATCGATGATGCAAATGGTTCCATCATTATTTCCATAAATGCTGTGGTATTAACAACGCTATAACTATAATTCGATTATTGAATGGAGAACACAATTACAATATAAAACGAATTGATGTAATAAAAACTTTTGCTACTTATGTTGATAGAAAATTTTCCATATGGACACAGCAATATCAGAGTAAGTATGTGAATGAACTTAAATCTACCTAAGAGGAGAGAGAAAACTTGTTAGTAGAATGAAAATTTGTTTATACAGATAATTCGTATTAGAAGATGCACAAACTATGGATGAACAATACCTTATATCTATTGCTGATAATGGAAATTCACATTCGAATAGTGGTTCAACTGTGGAAGTTACGTCAAGTATTGATGAATATGAGAATGCATTAGTAGATCTATCAAGATATCTTCATTTAGAATCCGACTTAAATGATGATAATGATGATCAAGGTTTTAAATGACCGCCACCAACGTTACCAGTTTTGTCAAGTTCATTCGATATTGAGGAACTATCTGATTCTCAACAGATGACATCATCAACAATGTCACTTAAAAATGAGGGTGGGTGTGGGTGAGGGTGAGGGTGTGCGAAACAAAGAGTTCTACACCCACACCCTTCACAAGCTTTCTTGCAATTACGATAATATCGTAAGCAATTTCTTCAAACTTTGGAGGCGGACGAAAAATCGAAATTATACTAGTATTGAATTAAAGGTTAATAATAAGTACAACATCTTGAGGGTGTGATTGTGGATGGATGTAAATACTAAGAAGAAGCAATGTCTACATTCACATTCATCTGGTTTTTAATAATAATAAAGATTTATTTGCTATTTAGTACAACATCCGATCGGTTGAAGCAACTGCTAAAAGATGAATTCATATGACTCCAAAGTAGATAGTCTAGTGAAATATCTGTCCTGCTAAGTTTGCCAGCTGAGAACTGAGGAATATATTATCAAGGATGACCCGACCAGTGGATGTGACACCCCTCCAATCTTAAAACATATTCAGTTTTTTTAACAAAATTTAAAGACTTTCTTGAACTTTAGTAAAAAAAAACCATGGTATATTCCCATGTCTCAAAAAAAGTTCATTGTGTTTTACTTCTAGCCGGCTATCCTTCCCAAGTTCACTACCCTCCCCTCCCAGCCACCACACCCACAAATTTAGTAGCATGCCATCAATGTTCAATAATAGTAAGTCAGTTTAGAGAAAGAAAATTTCACATTCTCAACGTCATTTTTTTCGTCATGTTGTTTAACGATGCATATCACTGAAAAAGACATCATTTAATTTTCTTATCGTCAAGCAAATACATTTTTTCACCTCTGTCGTCATCTCTCTTCGTATTTTATTCTCATAGAGGCAAGTTCAAATGGTGGCCATTGCACATGGAGGGGAAATATTTTTTCTTTTCTCTTTCTCATCTAAGAATCAGTGAAGTGAGAATATCGTATAACACACACACGCGTGTTCACCACCATCATTCGTTCTTTATAAAAATGTCGGTGTTACTTGACAATGACGTCCGTATTGAATGTAAGACTTTTTCAAGTCATCTTCAACATTGTTAAAACTTATATAGTTATGTATAGATCTCGGTACAAATCCTACACCAGATGTACCAATTTATTCCATAATATTATTATCTTTAATTGGTCATACGATTATATTTTACTGTCTTCCATCATCGATCAAGCCCATGACTAAAAGTTTGATAATCTCTACAATTCATGCTACCGTCAGTGTCTTGAGCGTATGCATATTTTTTTCTCGATACACTGTCGATCTAACAAAAGTAAATCGAATAGTAAGTGGAGGTCTCAAAGGAACAGGTGATGAGATCATGGCTTACAGTATATGTTATTCTATTGGTTATTTGATATATGATTTTCTCCTTATGATATGCTACAAATCAGTTCGAATGACATCGGCAATGGTTCATCATGTGATTATTCTTGGATGTTTTTTGCCAGGTATGAACTTATCAATTTAGCTTACGAAGAAAAGTATCAAAAATTGGGTATCGAAAGGTTTTTGCTCTTGAAGCTAACGCTAAATCTGTGATAAGATTCAATGAACTTATAATAATGAGAGCAATATAGAATAATTATATCATCGATGAAAATAAATTTTCCTACAATTCATAGTAATTCGATCATCAAGTCTTTCTGTTTAATATATGAGAAATGAAATTTTCTTTGGATTTTATAATTGTTGGAATTTTTTTTGTTATTTATAGGTGTCCTTACTAAAGTGGGTCATCCATGTCATTTTTATTTATTGATGGAAGAGCTTTCAACAATACCTCTCAATCTTCGATCAATCTATCATGATCGCCCATGTGCTTATAAAGGATTTTCAATATTATTTGCAATCACTTTTATTTCAAGTCGTTTAATTTACGGAACAATTATTTGTGTTTATACATTTCTAAGTGGACCGCGTTTTATTGAATTGGCTTTGAAAGCAGGCGATATGAAAAGTGTGATATTAGTTACAATTCAAATCACTCTCTGCCTCTCAGCACGATGTCTTAATTTCTATTGGGGTGCTTTGATTGCACGTAAAATATGTCGTCCAAAAAACTTAAAGAAACCAAAAGCTGCACTAAACGATATAAATGACAAAAAGAAAACTTCATAATTTGTAGTTTTGCTTTCAAATAGTATTGAATATTTTCAGCATTTATTTATTTATACAGTGATTTTTAGGCTGTTGATAAGAAATGAAAAATATCCACAAATCCACTTAGTAAGATACATGATTCTCTTTCATATATAGGTAAAAGGGTGTGTGTGGGTGTGGGTATGGATATGAGTGTGAGTATCAGTATGCATAGTAATTCTACAATCATGCACCCATTCAACTCCTTCATCTTCATTCCTTATATCTCCCACTACATACCGCACGGTTAAGGATGAAAGCGAAGGATGTTTCACAAGACAGTCACTGTTTTTTTTTAAATGATAATACATCGATTCCATCATTCGAAAATCATGAAAACAATACTCCTCATCTTTCGATAAGTGGTTATTTGTCCATCAATCAGTTCTTGAAAACTTCCCTTACTTTTCGATATATGCATTTAAAGGTTCTATACATGCCCATAAAAGTTATCATAAAACATACTTCAGTCAATAGTTGTAAATTTCTTTTTAGAAGAGATAGGATTTTATTTCGGTTTAGAATGCAGTTAATAAATTCAAATTTTCCTGATGAAAAATTTATGCAATATTCAAACAAGTGTCATGGCAGCTTCTCACACTCATACATATACCCCACAATCTTTGAAATCAATGTTCATCATTTTTCTCCTTGGTTATTTCGTTGGATCAATTCGTCCACACGAGTTAGGACCTTTTTATTGATTCGATAGCGAGACAGTTTTATTGCAGTGAGCGTCTGTATGGAAAAATAAAGATGGTACAGTGAGAGATAAAAAGAAGATAAAACTCACTTTGTTGTTTTGTAATGTATCAGCAAGATATCGTGCTCCCTCCGTTTCGATCTTATTATCTTCGAGGTCTAGCGTGGTGAGTGGCTGCGTGAAAAAGTGTCAATTGTAAACTGAAAGGGATGAAAAGAGAACGAGTCTTACTCTGTTATGCCGCAATGAATCAGCTAGATATCGTGCTCCTTCATATTCGATTGCATTCCTAGAGAGATCTAGTGTGGTGAGTGTCTTTGTGAAAAAGCAAAAATATTAAAATGAGAGAGATGAAGAGAGAGTGAAGATTACTGTGTTCTTTCTTAATGCGTCAGCCAAAGACTGTACTTCGACATCTCTGATTCCATTCCACGAGACATTTAGTGTGACGAGTGTCTATGTGAAAAAGTGCAAATCATAAAATTAGAGATATGAAAAGAGAATAAGGATCACTGTATTATTTCGTAATGCGTCTGCAAGATGTTGTGCTCCGACTGGTCCGATTTCATTCAAGGAGATATCTAGTGTCGTGAGTGTCTGTTTGAAAAATTGCGGATATAAAAATCAGAGAAATGAAGAGAAAACTAGGGTTCCTGTATTGTTTCATAATGCATCAGCCAGATGGCGTGCTCCTTCTTCCCCAGTTATGTTCGTGGAGAGATCTAGTGTAGCGAGTGTCTGTAAAAAAAAAGTAAAAATAATAAAATGAAGGAGACGAGAAGAGGATAAAAGTTACTTTGTTATTTCGGAATACATCAGCCCGATGTTGTGCCTCCACAGCTTCAATTTCATCTGTGCAAAGATTTAGTGTGGTGAGTGTCTGTGTGAAAAGATGCAGATAGTAAAATGAAAGAGATTAAGAGAGAACGAGGATCACCGTATTATTTCTTAATGTATCAGCCAGATGGTGGGCTCCTTTGCCCCCAATTTTATTGTAGGAGAGATCTAATGTGGTCAGTCTCTGCGTGAAAAATTGCAGGTGGTAAAATGAGAGATGAAAAAAATTCATGGTTACCGTGTTTTTTCGTAAGGCATCAGCACGATATTCTGCTCCTTGGTCGTCGATTCGATTGTCTATGTTACAATTGCCAAGAATGAGTGTTGTAAGTGTCTTTGTGAAAAAGTGCAAATCATACAATTAGAGAGATGAAAAGAAGATAAAACTCACTGTGTTTGTTCGTAAAGCATCAGCTAGATGTTGTGCTCCGACATTTCCGATTTCATTCGAGGAGAGATCTATTGTGGTGAGTGTAACGAATTTTGAAAATGAGATGAGATATTGAAGAGAAGAGATGATGGATGATTTATTCGTTACGACTGCAGTATTTACTTTTTATTTGTGATCACAAAGAGAAACTGGGAGAATAGC